CTTTCTTCACTTTCTAATTGTCACATCATCATCCCGTTTCCTTCAGTTTGTCCACCGAAATACAGTTTACAAATTTTGGGCTGTACTCTTTGGCATGGATTTTGCTCCTTATATTTTTAGCCAGGTCATGAGGGCTTTTGCTTGCCACATATGCAGTCCCAACTCTTGTTTCCTTTCCTTTTTGGATGATTGGCTTTTTTTTTGCTTCTATTCAGTAAACTGTTTCTACACCACATCCCTTTTTCTCCAAGAGGCTGTTCATCTGGGACAACTGGTCTTATTTCCTTGGTTGTTTCAGACTCCCAGCATATTTGATCCACCTCAGAAACCTTTTCTCTCTGCATCTCATTTGGGTTCACCATTTTATCTGTGAGTTATAGAATGTCTGGTCACCTCAAAACATTTGGTCTCCAATCCCATACATAGATGCTCTGGCTGTGGACACTTTCAGCCTGCATTGGTTTCTTCTTTTTTGTATATATTCTCTGCTACTTGCCTTCTCCATATATCTTAGCATTGTTCCACAACACTCTTTGTTAAGTCCTGTTGATAGCACCTTAGTGACCTGCTCTGTCTTGGTACATTCCTCTCCATCAACTGGAATCTTAGGAATCTTTTCTTCTTCCATCATTGAGGTTCCTCTTACTCCAACCTTTTACATTACTCTTTTGTCCATTAGTGTCATCCATTTGTCTTTGCATGGGTGATTATCATCAGTTCCTTGCTCAATGGGCAGTTTCTCATGTTGAATTGCCCTTTATTTTGTACTGCCCAACTCTTCTTTTTACTCTCTGTTCCTTGATGCAAGTGGCATTTTTATTGCTACTGGTCCATCCAGCACTATGTCTTTGGGCTGTCCTTCAGTTTCTCATCATTTGGATTACTTTACTGGGTTGTTTGACCAGAGATTGTTGGTCTACACCATGGCTGGCTATTATGCAGCTTTGTCAGCTGCCTTTTGCCATTATTCCTATGGTTTTATCTTTCTTCGTTTTTCTTTCCTTCTTCTTTTTTTCTGCTCATCCAGTTTGTTTGTCTGATTTTAACCTCCTTGTGGTTCTTTCCGCTCTCACCCAGACCCCGTTTGAACCCTTGGCCACTTGTTTCTTCTCTCACTTTTTTTTGAAAGCATAAATTTCTTCTTCTTCTTCTGGCTTGAAGATATCATCATTCCAATGTCTATTTCTTATGTATTTCCCATATATAATTGGTAGCTTGGGAGGGAGATGGGTCATTTTCTTCAGTTTTTCTTCCATTGTTTTTCTGGCCACAATGATTGTTGCAACTCTGGTAGTCTTTTGCAGCCCATTTGGGTGATCTATTGTTTGGCACATATGGCTCCCTTTTGGAATTCTAGCAGTTGCCTGTTCTTGCTGTGTGACTTCTCCTCATCCAAGGATTTTTGGTCTACTATACTTAGTAGTTGAGCTCAGCACTTCATCTGGATTTATTTATTCTTATAATATGACACTTACAAACTCAATAATGTCCCTTCTCACCAGATTCATCCATTGATGCACCCTTTGGCAACCATTGAATGAGATCTTAGAGACAGTGATATGGTCAATGCCCAACACACTTTCTTCATCATTCAGTGGTTTCACCTCCATCAAGACTTCTTCTCCCTCCATCAAGTCAAGAGTAATGGAAAGTGTTAAGCCCATCAGTCCAGGTTCCTATATACCCACTGTTGAAATGGGCTTTTCCATAAGTCCACTACTATTTAGGTGGGAGTGCCTGTCTACTTCCCTGGCTTACTTATGCTGGCTATTCAATATAGGTTTCATGGTAATCCATTGCACTTTCTCTCGTAAAATATCTTTGCAATGGTTAGATCCAATCTCAATACAAATCCCCACCCCTGGTCTTTGAGTGGAGTGTGAGAGACTCTTGCCATTCCTGGTTCCTAGGTACTGGGGTGGTTGACTTAGAGAGTTCCTCATTGGCTGTGTGATCCCTCTGGAAAGAGTCGAGAGTGAGCAGCACAATGCGGTGGGAAGAAGGGCAGGGCTGTCCAAGTCAGTGTAGTGCAAATCATCCTCTATTATATTGAATGCTAATTTCCCAATAGTTTTGACCAGCCAGATGGGACTAAGTGTTTTCCTCGGGAGACAGGAAGGGATCTTAGTCCCTGTTCCTATATGCATGATGAGTAAATAATCCAACAGAACATATACCAAACCATGCAGTGTGATTATTGCCTCAGCCACACTGCAGTTCATGTCCATTTGACCTGTTGTGTGCAAGTGCTTGTTTGGTCTTGTATTTTTCTGCCCATTCCTGTGACACATTGGCTCATATTTGTTTTCTTCTTTCATACTTGCATCTGGGTGAAGAGCATACCAGTCTCCCATGAGTGTTGTTCTTTTAGTTAGCCGCTGTTATTGGGTGTGATGCTCCATGAACATTTCTTTCCTGATGCCTTCTCTGAAGAGAGCTCATCTAGTTTTTCTCACTTGCATCAGTCACTCCACCACATAAGTGTTGGATTCTAGCTACTGTGTGCAGAGGGTTAAGTGGATTGTTTCAGAAGTTAAAATTTTTCTTATCTAAAAATGTATTTCTGATAGTTACTTAACTCTCTGCACAACTTCCCACCATTCCACAGCTTCCCCTTTACCAATGCATGTTATTCTTGCCTTTTCTAAAAATGATGTTAATTTCAAATGCAAGTGCTAATGGGGAACTACTGTGGATGGAGGATGAGTTACTTTCCTATCGGTGGAGGACCATAGCCACTTGATGATTACATCAATTTCTAATGCAGTTCATGTCAAACATGATTTAGGTGGGAGATAATTTGAGGCTTGTGAGAAACAGCTACTGTGTGCAGAGAGGTAAGTATCTAGCAAAAATACATTTTCAGGTAAGGAAAATGTTAACAACTCTTCACTAAGGTGTGGAAAATATAAAGAACAGTTTTCACTTCTTAATTGTAATGCTTATTGTTATCCTTGACATTGCTAGTGTCTTTTAAGATGCCAGTTATGAATAATTCATAAAATGACAATGATGATTTGAATTTTTCTACAATTTTTTTTTTTTACATAGTAAGCAAGGTTATTAGACAAGACAACACAGTTATGTTCAAATACTAATTTTACCTTTTTCTTAACACTGCTCTTTTAGAAATGTATTACATCAATAATTAAGACAAAGAAAACTTACATTTCAGAACAATACAATATTACTCCAGTCCAGCAGCTTTTTCATATTTACCCTTTGAAAAGGCAACATATATATTTTTTTATAGTTTAAATAATTTATATTTCATATTATTTTGTATTAGAAAAACCTTTTTATGAACCTTGTGTTAATAAAAAAATATCATTGTTCCTCATTTATTGTGTTATGAATTATTATTATTTTTTCCCAAGAGTGCAGGATCATGGGAATTCTGAATTTTTTAACGTATGTCACCTTGAAAAATTATTATTGCTGACATGTTAATAAACCTCCCATTTGGACCTATCAAATACAAATTTCTATGAGTAGGCCTATATTTTGCTGAATGAATGTTTCTGGTTCATATGTTTTAAGTAATAAACATGATTATATTCATTTCACTTTTCACTAAAGGACAACTAACATGGAATTGTACTAAATCCACAACAAGGCAAATATTTGTTTGTTGTATTAGCAAGTCTCTTCTTATTTAAGTGATGAGCAATGGAGGTACCAGCCATATTGATCATAGCCAGATGCATAACTATTTAAACAATTTTTTAAATGTTTTATGGCTTATTATTGTCTACACACAAGAAAAAGTAAATAATGGCTAAGAACATTTGTAGCATGATTTACATTACTGTCGTGTAATAAGATACACACAGGACTACAGTATTATTATAATATAACCCAAGAGAACCTCCAAACTACTTCTTATGATGTTAATATCATTGTGCTAGTTATGTGCCCACCCATGACATTTTATTTTGGCCAAAGCTAACTTAAACATGTCTAATGTGTCACATTCATAAAACTTGCTTAAGATTTCATTTTGGAAACTTAAAATGTGTTGTATAATTGTAACAATAACTTGGTTAATGTGGAAGTAACCAGCAAAAACATTGCTAACACAATCCTATTTCATCAACTAAATATAATTGTTCACCTTTAGTAATATTTTTCAATATGGAAAACAACATGTCTCAAGGATAATAATGGTTGGAGATGGCTTAAATGGGTAATGAAGAAAAACTTTAATATAACTTTAACATAAGTACCTGATGAGGACAAAACCTTGTCGAAACGTTGTACATATGCTGTTATGTTAAACTTATATTAAAGTTTTTCTTTATTACCCATTCAAGCCGTCTCCTACCATTATTAGTCTCAAAGTGTGTTCCTCATCATTGAATGTCTCAAGGATGTTCCTAAAAATTTCCACCATATCCCCTCAATTTCAATACAAGGCAACACAAGCTCCATAAACAGGAGAACATATGAACAACATTGCATTCTCAAATACTCTAAAGGATATATATTTCCACATGGACAAGAAAAATCCTTATGAGAGTAAGGTGGCTTCTAGATTTAGCTGCAGTTAGTTTACTTGGATTTTCTACATATAATTTATTACAATCAGTATTATATAACTTTTATTTTTGTTATTAATGGTATTATTTACCTTATTTCTTTATTTTTCTCAGGAAGTAACCATCAGTGTTTTTGTTTATTCTGACCTTATGTTGGTTTTGTCAACTTACAAAAATAATTTTTTTCCAAATTTATTTTTTACTTTGAGTTTCAGTGAAAGATGTTTAGCCTTAATTCTGTCCAAATTTTGTCTCTTCCTTATAACTATGTAAAACATATATGTATATTCAGGTTTTTGTATTTCATGTAATAGATGTGAAAACTAAATTGCTTAGGCTTTCCAGGTAGTGGTTCATTGCTAGTGCTAGGTACAGTTCTGATTCCAAATACATTTATTATCTTAATTATTGATGTATTGTTATCATAAGTTATTATAATAATTAATCTACATTTCTTGCTAGTTCACATGTGTCCTTCTGACATCTCTGAAATCCTGTCTTGGAAAATCAACATGATACCGAGTGATGACAACTCTGTAAGTGACAGTGGGAAAGAAGAGGCTGAAGATCTAGGTAAAAAATTACATTTGCATATAACCAATTACCTCTTGGCCAGGTGCATTTATTACCAGAGTAATTAATATGTGATCAGATCATTACTTTTTTAAACTTGTGTTATTTCTGTGCAGTTACTTCTGTTCAAAAGTCTGTCTACAAATATATATATAAATAGAATGTTATAAAAGTTTTGAATCAATAGATAATGTGTGAGTAAAAGATATCACTTACTGCCTTACAAAAATTGTTAACAGTTTATCTTGTTTGTTTCATTAGGGGAGCTTACCTGTATTTTAGTAAGGGAATGGGTAAAAAACAGAGCACAGAGTTCTAGAACAGTATGGTGAACAAATAAAAACAGCATTCTCTGAGACCAACATTCATGGGCAAATGCAACGTGTCTCTACCACACAATCCAAACATGGCAAATTTTGTGAAAAACATAGAACAATCAAAAACTGTCTTATATCACTGCTTGAGACCTGCAAGTTGGTTTAAATATATGTGAATAGTTCATGAAACCCCAAATTGTGCTTTACTCATGAAAAATTGAGCAAAAGACAAAAAATCCAAATTTTTTTATTTCTCTGTTTGATACTTATAAAAAAAAAAAGTATCTTTGTATCAAATCCCATTTAAGTTGGCTGAAACATGGTGGAGTAATTGTCAAAAGACCATAAAATTATGCTTTTTGTAGCATCTTGACCCCTCCTCTAATCACCAAAAAAATGTGTTACTAAATTTGACATTATGTGTGACCTGTAGAAAAGTATCTTTGGACCAAATCCCATGTAAATTGGTCAAAATATGCCTGAGTAATTGACCAAAAATCCCAAAATTATGCTTTTTTGTGAGTTCTGACTCCCCCTAGAAAGACTTAAAATGAGCAAATTCATTTTTTTTTGTATGCCATTGTGTTGGGCACATGAAAGTTTATATTTGTGCCAATTTATATCATGCTTGCTGTAAATGACCACAGAGGAGTCCATAATACATGTTTTTGGGTTGTTTGACATTTGACTTCATAAAATTCATAAAAGAAGGCCTAAATCAAAAAGTTAAAAAGATGCCTGGGTGTATTAGGCCAAAATATATTCCTACCAAGTTTGAAGTCAATCCACAAAGAAATGAAGGACTAGTGGCTGATCAAAAAGTGTTTGGAAAAAGAAGAAACAATAGCTAAACAGTATGTCTCTCTGCGGAGGCACGACTAAAAGAAACTGCCTTCTGTCATCTGGCCTGGTTCATATGTAAAGCTCACGTCTTGTAATTAATTGTTCAGAGGTGGAAGTTATAAAATACATGTGCATATATGTATAATGTTATTTCCTAAGCTTTAACCTAGGTTATATAAACAACTCATCAACATTCCTTTTACTGATTAAAAAAAAGCAAAATCACAGAAGTCCATAAAAATGTCTGTGAATAGTATAGTGTTATTTCTTGTTGTATCTTGGCTTGTTGAACTGTATGTATGACTGAATGCTCTTACTGGATGGAACCATACTTTATTGACATCCAGTCTGTCCAAATATGGTATGTACGCATGGTTTACCAGCATTAGCATGTTAGCAGAGTTCATTTTGGCACTTTTTCTCATCTCAGGTATTTAACCCTATGTGTATGAAGTAATATATCTTCATGAAATTTGGTAAGATTTTAGTAAATATTACAAGTATGTTGTACACAGAAAGTCAAAATTTTTAATAAAGCGTTCTACAAAAGATTTTTCTCTAAAGTTTCTCTGACTAGTCTGAGTACAAGATGATTTTTATATTAAGAATGAAAATACTTTTTTCATCTTGCAGTTTGCTAACTCCAAAACATACTTACCTTCTCTCCCACTTATTGCTATTACTTGACTGCCAGGGTTTCTTCATTTGCCCCTCTAAGCATTAGTCTGATTTTTCTCACTTGCTCCAGTCTTTTATACCCCACTGAATTGTCCTTTGCAATATTTATCTCATGACACTCTCCACCTACGTCAGTGCACTCTCTATCCTGGTACTGTATATAAGCACCTCATTCAGATAATGTTATCACTTTTTCTTGACAAAGCATTGCTAATGGATTTCCCAGTATCATGATCGTTCAGAGATACTTTGAATGTTATCCATGTTTTCTAGTTTTGTATCGTAATTAAAAAAATTTTTTTATTCCAATTGGCATTCTGTTTTATGGTGTGAATTCTTGGATTATTATTTTCAGCACGGAGGCAATTCAGGTCTCTTCTATCCCACCTCTGATATCTAGCATCACACAACAATCAGGAAGTCATTCTCAGTTGAGACTGTCAGTGATCTTAATTGTAGTGAGATGGAGACACATATTCGGTTCTGTGATGGATCTCTGGGGGCTCTGAGGCTCAATTGAGGGCAATCCTCAACATTCTGGAGAGAATTAATATTTGCTTTTTCCTGCACTTTCTTTTAGTCTATTGGCTTTTCAGTCCCCTTGTGGAACAGTGGTGAGTTTGCAGACTCACAGCACTGGGGTCTGGGTTCGATTCCCAATAGTGGACGTGGCAGATGGCCCAACACTGTTTTGCTCTAACACAACAAACTTACCTGACAAAATGTTGTTCCAATGAATGGTAATCCATAGTCTTTAAATGACCTATTAAAAACAAACAGGAGGCCACTTTGAGATAAACTGCTTTTGATTTGTTTTCTTCAGTTGGTCCATTGAGAGTGTGATGCTTTGGGCCTTTTTCTGGTTGCTCGAACTTTACTTTATGGCTGAAAGGTCTGGGAGCGAATTTTTAGTCTTCTCTCCATCCACTGATATTGTGGTTCCTGCTGGAAGGTTTATTTCTCAGTTACGTGAAAGGGCAGTTATGCCTTACCCAACATGTTGTTGAAACTTCATGATTTAGCTGACTCTTAAGTAATACATCTGCTCTTTGAATTTAGGGGTTCTCAGGTGGAGTTTGTGGTTAATCTGAACAGATAAATGTCTCCTAATGGGGCAGAGTAAGTCTACGGACTTACAATTCTAAAATTCAACATTTTGTTTTCCTTTCACTTCACTTTGTTGGAAGACTCTCAGGATCACCAACTTCATTGATGATGAGCTGAATCCATTGATAGCATGCATGTTAGTTCAATTTTCGGCTTCTACAATACTCCCTGTTGTTGTTGGAGTCCCAAATTTCAGGAGATCATAGTTCCACTCCTATTTGTGGGTCCCGACCCACGAGATCAGACCTTCAGTATATTGGTATCCAGAATAGATTCTGTTTATATCCAAGGGTTCCACTGCTTGGCCAGATTGCCACCATCAGTGTTGGTGATTATTGTATACCTTCAGGGTCTGTGGGGGCTCGGCTCCGAGAATTTCTGAACGTGGGGTAACTTTAACCACGGATCTAGAAGCACTGCAGGTTCTTGAGTCAGGTTTAGTCATTCAATTCACATTTTCACTACTATTATCCACCCAACCTGCAGTGTTTCTGTCTCCTGCAGATAATCAGGATTTGGAACTTAGTTCTAAGGTTGTCAGAGTTTGGTTGATCTGGGGGTTGTGAGAGAATCATGCTAGTTCTTCAGAGGTTTTATTCCTGTCAGGTGTTAGTCCTATGCAGACAGGAGATTGGTGGTCAGTCATCAATCTTTCTCGTCTATATCAATGCCTAGATTCTCCAAGGTTCACAAGTTACTCATTCCTCAATCTGAGTTGAAATTTTTTACTGGGATTGTAGATGTCCAGGTTTGTTGTAGTCGGCTTCTATATGCACATTGCCATAATAGTGGACTCCAACCACTAACGGCATTTGTTGTGCACAAGGGTCAGGTAATGCAGTTCCAGGTTTTTACCTTTGAACTTGCATTGGCTTCACAAAGGTTCTGCTGTATCATACAGGTTTTTCTCATCACCTCCATTCTATTGCACTGTGCACACACCATTATATGGATGACTGGTTACTGCTGGCACCATCTCGTCAATTGTCAGACTATCACATTCTGTGTCTACATTCAGAAAAAACCAAGGCAGGCTTCATTTTCAGGGCTGAGACTTCTATTCTTGCTACAATTCCATATGTCATCAGTCTGGGTATTTTTTTTATATTTTTCATCTTGTTTCTCAGTTGAGTTCAGCTGTCTCCCATTTGGCTCAACGCTATTGAATAGGTTACCTGGCTCTTACTCCCTCTCCTTCTTCCACTGCATGGATGGTTCTTTCTTTTTTGGAATATGAGCATCACTCGCATCCCTCATGCCTTTGGGACGAGAGTACAAGAGATCCTTTTAATGGTCTTTATGCGACCAAGAGATCATAAACATTGATTCACTGGATTCTCCAGTTTCCTTAGTCTGAATAATTTTTTATCTCTAGGGGTTGTTAGGTCGGCACACTACTGCGATATGGGGTCCTCTACTACTGCCATGTCCAAAGTTCCATCTCGTCACGAATGCCTTGCTTCAGGGATGGGGTGCATATACCAACAATCAGAAATTCCAGGGTCTATGCATGGATGAAGAAGCTTCCCTACACATTGTTTTAGTCCTTGCTCTTCAACAGGCTATGCCTCATGGTCTGGGCTTATTAAAAGGAAAATCATCAGGCTTCACTCTGACAATTCCATAGTGGTGTCGTATTTCTCATTGAGGAGCCACTTGGTCCAGGGCTCCCTGTTTTCAGATTTTGGACCTACATTCTCTGGACCATTCCTATCTTATCACCCTACTAGCTTGCCATGTTCCATGGGTGATGTCTGCAGTAGCAGGTTAGTTGTTTCAATTCAAACTGATTTTCCCAACAGATGGATGCTTCGTTGCAAGATTCTGTTGGATTGGCTCCAATTTTGGAACTGTGATTGGTGGGTTGGCATCTCATATTAGATCACCCAACTACTGGCAATTTGGTCTCCAGTACCTCATCTTCGAGCTTTGGCAGTGTATGCATTCTGTCAGGACAGGATAGGATTACAACTGTAGGCCTTCCCTCCATTGAGTCTTGGGAAAATGTATTTCCCACAGATACCTACCTCTTCTTACACTTCCCACCCCTACTCCCCACTTCAAATGCATCTTTTTTTGGCTTAATCTTGAAGTGATGATTGCACTCAACAGTATAGAGGGAGTCAGCTGTGCTAGGAGGGTGTGTCACATTCCTAATGGTGGAAGGCTGTTGCTTGCTCATTTGCGTACTACTATGTATGGGTACGTGAGAGCATCAAGGCTAGTGGCATGCAAACATTGCACAAATAGAGGGCAGCACTAATCAAGAAAAGTTTTTATGGGCATTCTTCAGATGCTTTTCATAAGGTGCTCATCAAGGTAACTCTTGCACCAGTCACTCCACCATTTCAGTGTGGGATTCTAGTTATTATTTGAAAAGAGGTAAGGTGTTGTATCAGAAGTTAACATTTTTCTACACTGAAAATGTATTTCCCATAGATACTTACCTCTTCTTACACTTCCCACCCATCCTCCACACTTTCAGTGCATATTTTTTTTTGCCTAATATCAAAATAATGTTTGTACTTGAGAGTATAGAGGGAGTCAGGTGTGTTAGAAGAGTGTGTTGCATTCCTATTGGTTGAGGGTTGTTGCTTGCTCACTTGCATGCTACAGTGCAGCCATACCATGCGAGGGTAGGTGGGAGCATCAAGGCTAGTGGCAAGCCAAAATTGCACAAATAGAGGGCAGCACTAATTAAGAAAAGCTAATATGTGAGAGGAGGTAAGTATTTACTGGAAATACATTTCCAGTATAAGAGAATATTAACATTTGATCAAAATAAATCATTGGTTTCAGATAGTAAGTAGCCTACAAAATATGCATTTCCTGTCATTAAACAGTTGGATACTACAACTTGTTTCTGTAATACTACTACAGAGTAAGCAGTGTACATTTATGTATTGATAGGCATACATTTGAATTTCAGTGTATATGTGACTAGAAACTGTAATGAATTCATGATCTCAGAAAAACAAGTAGGTTCAAGAAGTCTTAATATAAAATGATAAAACTATATAACCCTTGCATTTTTGAAAGGTAAACCTTTCTTCTTTTATTATGTAATGAAAATATTCTATAAGAATTTTGTTGTCCTGTATATTTTTGTAACACTTTCATTTATATCTGAACTTAAGTCTATTTTGTTGTTCAACTAGCCTCACTCACATCCATGAACTCAAGAATTCTTCCTATCATGCATTTCTTTTCTTTTGTGTATCATCTTCTGTGTAATGCCATGCATTATTACCTTTCCATTCCTGAAATGCCTTTAGGAATTGATAAAGATCAATGCTTTTATTTTGGAGAAGTGTCTACTAAAATATGAAATTTATTTACCTCTCATTTGCCAGGCTCAAAGTCTAGGTTATTATGTATGTGAATTCCCCATGCTATAAATATAGTATTCTGAAATATTTCACTTGTGTTAAACCAATTTTTAACATGCAATAAACTCATCTTTGAACTTCAGTATAAAAAAAGAGTGACATTTTGAAGAACTGTGAAATCAGTCAATTTTTGAAATTTAGACATTGTTAGTTTTATATCAATACTACACTAGAACATAATAATGAAGATACATAGAAAATAAGCTTTGTTGTAGTATTAGATGAAGTATAATAAAAATGATATTTAAGTCATACATGCAAGTCCTGCCTGGGACTGGAGTAATTCTGCATTAGGACTTCTGCCTTGTGTAGTAAATATTAGTTACAACAATATGTATTTATTACTTCTGTTATTCTATATAATAACTACTCTTCTCACATGACTAATGCTGATAGCATTCTTCTGATTAATTGTCAAACAAACATGGCATTTTATTATTTGTAAAAGCAAATAGCAGTTTTATGGTGATTTTTTTGTGAAAGAATGAAATTGGTTTATTTTGGTTTCAGCAAGAAGACTAAAAATGGCATTTCCAACTTTGTTATCAAGAAACTACACTTCATCTGATTTTGAATTTGGTTTTACCAGTAGAGTACGAACTAGAACCACAGCAGAAGCATTTGCTAAAGGACTATTTGGAGAAGGTATAAGTTCATTAAATAACTTTCTTAATATTGTTGATAACATTATTTTCAGGTAATGTAACAAATAAGATGTTATTCTAAGAAAATAAATAATTTCATATCTACACATTTTACAGCAAAATTACACATTTTTAATATGATTGTATCATGTATGCAAGTGAACAAAGAACATCATTTTGGAAACTGATACCTTCTGCTTAGCAAACTGTAAAATATATATATATAAGGTTTCTTCATACTTAAGGCTATTTAGAATGAAAAAATAATCAAATATGTTTTTGTATATACGTGTATGCTCGCTCACTCAGTCAATTTACAGAAAAACTAAAAATGGTAAAAATGTGCATTGAAATTATTGTAATTTATATTGAAAGTTTTAACTTACTGGTTTCATCTTTAATATTTAACTTAAAAGAAGTACAAGTAAGAAGTCTGAGCACATACAAATATTGAACAGATGAATAAATGGAACTTTATCTGAAGTCAGTATATATATTTTTTTAATTTGTTTTGACATAAATAGGAATTGTCACATAAAGTATATATGTAACTCTTAATAGTTTTAATCAAAAGTAATTTTCTGGTAGCTAAAGCACCTTGACAAAGAAGAAAAACTTGAAGCTATTTAATACATTTAAAAATTCCTCTGTTCCTGCAGCTGCATTAGAGATAGAATATCCAGAACCAAAAGATGATAGGCTTCAATTTCACAAGCTATGCAACAAAATAATCAAAGTAAGTTGTGTAACATCTTAAGTAACTTGAATAGTAACTTTATTTTATAACATACTGCCTCTCTTAAATTTTCTTGTAATATGTCATGCACATTTCTCTCTAAGGACGTTTTCTAAACATAGGTTATTCTGTATTTGAATCATATGTTGTGTTGTTTCAAATAACTGTATATTAGGTTGAATTCTTCACAAAACATTTACCTATATTGTTCTAAACCATATGTCAAGTCCTTTTTAAATGGTCTGCATGTAATTAGAGCCTAAGTTGTAATAAAAATCTTATTTCATTATGTAGTTTTTCATTTGTACAAATAATTAGAAATTTTTAGTGAATATCAGAAATATGCATTTTTTAACTCAACTTACACCAAATATAGTAATTAGATAAACTTTGTAAGTCATTTCAGTTACTGAATTATGGTAAAGTTTAATGACTGAAATTGTATAAAAACCTTGCTGTTATGAAAAAATATTTTCAGATACAAAAACTGATAAAAATTATTAACATTCAGTACAGTTACTGTTAACTTACTTTGAATGATTGATAAGGCAAATATTTTCATTAATGTGCAATGCCTAAATCAATAATTTAATGTCATAGATGAGTGATATTTAGCAATTAGCAAGTAAAATATTTCTAAAAATTCTATGGCCTGAGGGTTAGGGCACTCAGTTTAAAATCTGCAGGTTGCAGGATTTAAACTTCTTGCCAAACATATTGACCCTTTCTTCCACTAGGGTTATTATAATGTGGCACTCAATCCCACTATTTATTAATAAAGAGTAGCCCAAGAGTTGATGTTCGTTAGCTGCTTTCCCTGTAATCTGTCACTTCAAAGTTAGGAATGGCTAGTGCCAATATCCCAGGGTTAGCTTTACACAAAGTTCAGTGAAATAAATAAACTAAAAATTGAACTGGTGATTGTAAAGGTTAAACATGCACTATAGATTGTATACTTTTATATACTTAGTATAGAACTTTGCTTACATCAAGGTGCTGAATTGTTTTACCATGGCATGTTGGTCATGTGTGAAAATAAATATAATTAGCATGAAGCATATGTAGAAGTTAAAGTTTGAATTTGAAAAGACAAAGAATATAATTACAAAAAATTAGACTTAAGATTGTTTTATATCAGATGTGATTAAGTTTCAGGTTTTTGAATGAATGGTATATTTATTTTATGTAAATATTTTATGAAGTCAATTAAAAGTCTGTAAAGCAATAAGAAAATTTTATTTATGTGTACTTGTACAACATTTTGTAGATTTGCATATAAAAAAGAAGTATATTGTAAATATCTAAAAATGCTCTAAAAGATTCACAGGCAGCAACCAAAACCCACAAGGAAATGATATTTTTATGTTACAGCTTGTTTCAAGAAGAATGAAAAATTATAGAAAAGTAGCACCAAAATACAAAAGACTTATTTCAAGTTAAAAACATTTTAGTCATAGTATATGGCTTTAATATATAGAAAGAAATTGGTGTGTGTTGGTTGTCAATTTAGTCAATATTTTTCAAATAGATATAAAAAAAATAGTTCATGTTCCAAAAATTATTCTATTTATATTACTTTTTAAAACATAGTATCTGTACAATATGCTTGTTCATGTGTCTGTTATGAAAGTAACGTGTGTGTGTGTACATGCATATTTAGATAGTAAGGTGCTTGTGCATTATCATGACAGACAAAAACTGAGTATTATTATAATACACTAACAGAGACCCACAAGACATTTGCACTCAGATTAGTGTCTTTATTGTAACAGTACTTCTTTAACTAAAGGACTTCTAGAATAGTACAAAAGGATTCTAATTGCAGACACTGTCATACTGTAATTCTGCTGGCTGTATGCCTTATAAGCCTGTGCAGAAAGAATTTTACCTAGAAAAACAGAGCAAGTGCCTGCCTTTGCCACAGAGCTGGAAAGCTCAATGAACAAGTCACTACAACTGCTTTATGAATGAAGGAATAACAAAAAGGTGGATGTAAATATTCTTTATTAACCATTCAGTACAAAAGCATTAAAAGCTTGAAGTTTTCATAATGGTCTGATGTTAGGTCCTAGAATAACATTATAAGTTTATTTATAGATAATATTATGTACAGTATAGTTTAGCCCTAACTAAGGTAATGTAAAACATGTACATGGTAGAGTGTTAATATATACCTTTATTGAACTTAGACCTAACATTAGTTTAGGTTTTATAAAGTATGACCTAAATACAAGTGGACTTACATATTTTGGTGTCTACAATTACATTTCATTTGTATTATTCTACAAATCTTGTATTTAAAGAAATACTGTTGAATAAAGATACTAATTTGACAGCAAATGTTTGTGTGTCTCTTCTAATAAGTTACTAATTTTAAGATTTTTTTCCAGAGAATGGTGTGAAATTCAGTGTTAGAAAATTAGTCTTAATTTTGAAGATGAGAAGAATATTAGATCTATCCAGTGTATAGGTGTTTCTCATAAAGACTACAAAGCACGTTCACACTAACAGTATGTTTAAGTTCTATAAAGTAAAAACATCTATCAGTCATCTATTCAGAAATACATAGAAAGCAAATAAAAACTCATAAACATCAGTTTTGTTTTGCTTTTATTTAGCAGCAAGTTAAGAAGAAGACTGACTGTGTAATGCATTGGACTAATTATTTGTTCAGTTATTTAATACTAGTGTAAATTAATGTGCTTCAGTGATTATCAAATATTTAGTTATGACATTTAAAACCTAGCTAATAACCAAAATTTGTTATCCGTGGGGGTGGGGATGGGGCAGTATTTATACATACAAAACATTATTAGGGTATTTATGAATACCAAGAGTTTGAATTAGAACTGTGTTGAGCTAATGATAATGCTTGTTTTGATTATATCTTCAAAATTTGTACAATTAGAAATTAGTTTTTTTCTTAAGATCCCAGTTTTATTTATCTGTTTTGAAATATCTTTAGATTTTAAACTGTCATTTATGCAATTTCTAAGTTTGTATAAGAATGTTCATTAAGATAATAAAAGGATTAGCTTCTGTAGATAACTGCTTGCAAAGCTCTAGCTTTTCTAAGTATATTTGTTATGCTTAATTTCATTACTTTTAACTAACAAAGAAAAAAAGCTAGTGACTGAAATTACAATGTGTTTGCAAGATTTCTTATGTTAGAATAGACTTAATGCTTTCTTTCCACTAAAACTGCCAAAATGTTTTGCATCGATACATTTTTTTTTCAGGCTGAATGGATATTCTAAAGTTATGTATCTAATAATAAACTGGATATTCTAAGGTTATGTATCTAATAATAAACTGATGTTTATTTTCTTTAATATTTTATTTTCAAGATAAACATTTCTTAATGTAAAAGACAGGGTTGTTGAGGTATGAAAATATTTCACCAAGGCTAGTTGTATAAGAAATGTTTTTTTTTTCTTCTTGGTCATTTAATCGCTAATATTCAAATTAAATTCAAACCATTTTATTGAATCATTAGTCAAGTATTTCAATATTACTTTCTTAACATTGAGATTGTTTCTGAAAATATTAACTAATTCTTTAGCCCATCTTTTGTCTTGAATATAATTTTCAAGGACAATATCAAACTTCATTACACCCACACACTTAAACAGCTTGTACTTGGCAGAATTAGACTTTAACAACTACATACCTGACTGATTGATGTTTGTGGCATTTTTCATGTATATTTCTATATTCACTGAGCAATCTGTTGATATTGTCATATGTAACCACAAAGTCTTATTAAGGTTACTGGTTTTCATTATAGTGTATCACTTCAATATGAAATTCTCATTGTAGGGTAAGGTAGGCTATGAATTTTCTGTTTTTCTTTTATCAGTAATTAATTTCTACCTAAATGGAAAAATTTATTCTACTTTATTTTTAATCAAGAGGCTTTCTGTCAAAACAGTTTATTATTGACAACAAATAAGATGGAAATACATTGTAAGGTAGAACTTAATTGTTTGTGTGAAACAGGGTTCTCACAGATCATGAAAATTCTGGAAAGTAACAGAATTTTGTAAAGATATTTTTACATACTAGAAAAACTCCTGCAAAATTGCTAGTTTTATCAGAAGGTCTTGGATAGGTCCTTGAAATAATTATAAACTCATTGCTTTAACATCCTTCACTCTTATTGACAACAAGCTATACTATTGTGTTCATCTTAGTTTCATGAAAAGCTGTCTCTAGGAAATGTGACTTATAAAATGTGAATTATGCAGACTTGGCAACATCGATTAGTAACAGCATCTGCAAGCAACAGGTGTTTATTCTTGGAATGACACTGTTAGCATAAAATAAATTCAAGACACATTTTGCAGAAATTTAAAGTCATAAAACTGGGGATAGTTAAAAGAACATGGATGTCTCAGAATATTTCTAAATCCATTTTCAGAATAAACACTTCAAAAATGATTAACAACATTTCTAGCCTTTGTTTTTCATCAGTTTTGCCTAAAATTTGTTAATGAAAAGAGAGAAAGAAATGCATACAATAAGACATAATAGAATGAGTGACATAAACAGAACTGCCATGCATGAAATGATCAAATATTTACCATTAAAGACAGCCCGTCTAGACCACTCATTATTTATGCAGTGATTGATCTAGAATGGAATATTTTGATGACACTTTGAGCCTTAGTAAATATTTTGGAAACAATCTTCTGCTTTTAATGGACAATAAGGATTATAAATATAGTCTTGTGATGTATGATATGTTACTCAGTCTCTTTGTGTTCATTTTAGTTTTTCTTTCAGACCTAAAATCAATAAAATTAGCCCTGCATAGCCAGGTGGTTAGGGTGCGTGACTCGCAATCTGATGGTTGCGGGTTCAAATCCCCATCCCACCAAAACATGCTCACCCTTTCAGCCATGGGGGCATTATAATGTGATAGTCAATCCCACTATTCATTGTTAAAAAAGTAGCCCAAGAGTTGGAGGTAGGTGGTGATGACTAGCTGCCTTCCCTCTAGTCTTTCACCACTAAATTAGGGATGGCTAGCACAGATAGCCCCTGTGTAGCTTTGTACAAACTTCAAAATAAACCAAACCAATCAATAAAATGTGTAAAAAACTCATTCACAATTTCATTTGTAATCATTATACACTGTTATGAATGATACACGTCAGCACTTTCGATAGAAAATAAAATATTCAGAACAATAATTGTTTTAAATATTGTTTAAATGTGGGTGTGTCTTATTCTACAAACAAATGTATAGGCAAAATATGAATGTTTTGTTTACTCACAAAATTTCCAGTTTTGTGAAAAGTTCTGTATTAGGTGGAATTACAAAAGTAAACTGAGAAGACATTTCAAAATAATGGAATGCAATTTTGGGGAAAAACCCAGAGATATACATTGTTAATGAGAACAACAGTATGAGAGTAGTCTCACTAATACTATGAGTGTTAATCTTTACTTGGTTGGTATGGTGACATGTTGTCATGTATGTTGAGTAGTCAATGAAATAAAAGTTTACTTATTGTCCTGTTGGCAAGCTGAAATAATGTGTTTAACAAATATTATATGATTTTGGTTACACACTAGAGGAGCTTTTAGCTCGAGCCAAACCAAAGACTTAAGGCTTTATCACTTGTTGTTAAACTGAGATTGGGAAAAGTTGAAGTATACTTTGGGGACTATAAAGAACCAAAATTTGTTTGTGCTTTATTGAGTATCATGTTAAAAGTTAGTAAATTAGGTCCTGGAATTTTCATTAGCTTGTGTGAACCATTTATAACGAGATTGGGTTTTTATACTTCTTATTAAGTATAAATGCTTTAGAATTAAAAAATAATGATATATTTCAGGAAAGTGGAGTTATAGACAAAGAATATGAGGAATTAACAAAATTTGATGATGGTTACCTGATGGAAAGTGTTCGAAAAAGTGTTTCCTGGCGGTTAGGGTTTAATGCAACCAGAAGTAAGTTATGTTTTTATTTTTTATCACATTTGTCATAATGAAATTCAGATTGATTTATATATTTTTAAGATTAGTGTCAATAGTCTTGAGATTGAACACAGAGAAGAGTGCCAATCATTGACATTTTATGCATTTAGTCAAAGAATGATACTGATAATTTAAATTTTGTTTTGAAAAGAACTCAAGTGAAATTATTCTTGAGATTCACTTAGTCAAAGAAGTATGCTAAGCAGTTACAGGTGAAATTAGAGATTTGAGATACTTTAAAAGAATGATGCTGATCAATTATAATTATCAGTTGTGTAATTAGCATGAGAAGTAAATTAGAAAAGACTGTTGTGAATTTACTATTGAGATCCATGAAAAGAATTATGATGATCATGTAAAAGTTGTCCAAAAACAGAGCTGGATTGATATATACATGTGGTTCGATTGAGTTTCACCCAGTAATGAAAGCAATAGAAGAGGAAGTGTGACTCAGTTAAGAGTTTTGTAGATTGATAATAAGGGATTTTTTAATTTCTAATGCTGCGTTATTTGTTGCATGATGAAAACTTTTAAAGTTTGTACTTGACTTACAAATATTGTGCACAGAAAGCTCATGATTGAATTATGGTAAATGTTTGATTTGTAGGATTATCTTAGTAAATATCATGAATTTAAAATTTCTTAAACTAATCCCTATTTTGACTCCATGTCTACAGTACTTACTAATTTTAGTGGAGTCAGAATAGGGATTTATAGCTTGATAAAATAATATAGACACTATTTACAGCCTTGTTTGTTTACCTTTTCTAGAGTTTTTAGATGTAGGCTTGAAAATATAATCCTTACATTTTGATTCAACTTGTTTCTGTACTTGATGATCTCTATTCCCCTTTTTAAGTTAACAACTTTTCGTTATCTAAAATAATATAACACTGATTAACGTGATGTAACATGCTTACCTTGTTAGGTCTACATGATACATATGTATGTTCTTTCACAGCCTGCTCTGCACAAATATGTGTTAGAATAAGGCGACACAAATAATGTAGCCAAATTGACAACAGAAACACACTTAGCATAAGTTGCCAATTATTGGCAACATTTACAACCACTACCTTAACCAACTATTTAAAAATAGCAATAGTGATATGAAATAGTGCTATATGCAGTGGTAATATATACTGAATATGCACTCACAATATCAGCAAGTATAAGAAACAGTTGAAAGAATCACCACTGTCATCTGAGTAGGAAAATCTACTATGGTAATTGTCCACTGTTAAAATTTGCTGTAATATAGACACAGAAATCCAAGTAGAGACAGCAAACTCAAGTAATGATGAACAATAGCGACTCGAGTAATGATATGCAACAGCAAAATATTTATAATCACGTAAATCAACTTTCAATGAAAAATCAATGTTTAAATAGATCATGGACATTCGCAGCATTTTATATAGTATATCTGGCTAGGATTTGGTGAAAAATACCCAGCTGATTTAGCTGTTGGCTTGTAAAACAATAATATTAATAATAATATGAACAAATGTGTCAATTTTGATTTTGTCTAACAATTGTGAAATCATTTATTGTGCTAATTATCAATGTTTGGGTGGTTTTAATTATTGGAAAGGAAGGTTTTGAGTGTTGTTTCAAGAATAAGACTGCTTTTAATATGTTTTTTTACCCAAATATTCTATTAAAGTTTTCAGCAAATTCTGTGCAATCACTATTAAGAACAACTAACATGGTTCATGATAAATACCTCATTTGTAGGATTGTCTTAAACAACAGGACATTTACATTTGTTTGCCTTCTTATAGACATTACTTCAGAAACACTACTCATCTCTCTGCACCACAGAGAGCTATTACCTTGCATGCACTGCTGTGTAAATCTCTGCACATGGCTTGAACTTAACTTCCATTCCTAAACCTGTCAACATGTATATATTAGACTAAAGCCCTCCACCAATAGGAGAGCAACACATCCTCCATGAACACTAATCCTCATGGACACTAGTAGATTTACATAAGCTCATTCTTGATAGTACAGAGAGGTGATTAGCTATCTGAAATACATTTTTACGTAAGTAAAATGTTAACTCTGTCATGCCTGGGTGGATGCATACCACCTTGAGAGAGAAATTGCACTATTGTATTAAACATTATAGAAAATAAACATGTAATTGTTTTTCCACACATTAAAAAAAACTTGAGTGGAGATTTATTCAATACAAAAGTTTTATTTATTTTATTTTATGCATACATTAAAAAAAAATGCATATTTTGATCTTGGGTTGATTACAGTGCACTCCAAATGAAATTGTAAATGTTTGTAAATTTCCTGATTTTTTTTCTCAACATAATACATTACTTGCAGCCCCTAGTGGGAAAGTCATAATAGTTTTGAACAAAACAGTGCTAAATTGACTATTTAACTTGAATACAAGTGTAGTTTTATCAATGTTTAGCTGATCACTGTCTCTAGGCATGATGTAATTGCCTATATCTCAGCTTAGAGAAGTTATAGGCTAGTGCTTCAAATATGTAATGAAAGTTCTTTTTTGACTATATAAGTGAGTATGGGTTCCATTTCAGTGGAGATACATTTAGAGATTGTAACAAAGTGATAAAAGCTTAACTTTGTGATATGTTACTACAAGAAAAGATGTTTGTGAATAACTTCTGCCACAATTACAGTCATGATTTCTTTATGAAAGCTTGCAAAAAGATTGATTTATAATTATATGCTTCATTTGAATTATGATGTTCCAGTATGATAGCAAATTCTTTTTATGGAACAACATGAGGTAAGCTTAGTTAAATCAGTTTGCACTCAACCACATCTAGTTTCATTTTGTTAGGCTTTTTTTACATTTGGCCTTATCAGTCTTGAATGAACATAGAAAATCACTGAAAGAAAGGTAAAAATATATATACACATGAATGAAATGAATATAAAATGGGTTTAGAACTCATTGCATATGTTAAATGAAACATTTTGATTAAGAATTTAAAAAACTTGTTTTATAATTTTTGGTATAGTAAAGCAGTTATTTTTATTGTAAACATAGACACAGTGAAACTGTATTCATTGTTTTTCAAATCAAAAGAAGGATAAAATTTAAAGTTTATAAAGTAATAACTTTATAGGAAAGTTTTGTAAGAATGTAGAAAAACAAAAATTGTTAATTAAAATCTATAATAAAGGTAACCATTTTTAATTGTTTCTTCAGAAAAAGACATATCACAATGAAATCCTGATTTTTCAAAGCTGTCAATGCATACAAAGTATCATATGTAAAAGTAATATATTTTATTTGCAGAAGCTACATAATGTATAGAAAGTTCACCCAAAGTTTCAAGTTATTTATTGAGTTGTTTTTTAATGCAATAAAAACAAACCTTAGAACAGGTGTATCAAATTGATGCAACTAGGCTTCTGAGAGTTAAAATAAGTAAAGGCTATTTACCTTTTTTTTTTTTTTTTTTCACTTGTGTCAGGTATTATATAAAGTAAGTCATCATTGTGCTGCATCATGAATTGCTTGTTGAAAAACCATAATTTTTCCATTAATAATTTCAGACTGTTTTTATCTTGTAAAAAAAGAGGTGCTTTGTTAGACCACAATTTAGCCACGATCTGGAATTCTAAGCTATGTAAACATTGAACAGACTGACTAGTACTTTAGAACTTATAGTGAATAATACTTAAGATTCTGTCTGAATCTGTCAGGCCAGTTGGTGCATAGTAACTTAACTGTGTGTGTGCCCAAAACATCATGTAAACTCTAAAAGGTTCAAATAAATTTAAAATTTGAATTGTAAGGCCAGGCTTAAAAATATTTCTGCTTGCTGTAACCTGACCAACCTTCTGAAATTGAGGCTGAATTTCTGCTGATATACCGACCTATCTAACAAAATTTGCCAACTTTAAAATTTTTATTGCCGTATTATGGTTAGAATGTTGTTAAATATACACAATTGTTTTAATTTAACTATAGTGCAAGTGTTAAATTTAATTATTTTTAGAAGCAATATTTTTTCACGTTTGTTTACATAATTGTATGAATTATACGATGTATGCTTCAGTTGTCATAAATTGACAATTGTTGTATTATTACGTCATTTTTAGAACCTAAGTTTTTATCGAGTATTAATACATCATAATATCTCATAGTGTGTTGAAAGTTCTAGGCCTCAGTTGATATTTATAAATACGCGTCCAAAATGTAGTTCAAGTCAGACAAAGCTAGTGAGAGATGTAGTCAAATAGATCTAGAATGTTTGTTTGTAAGTTTGGCTGTAAAGAGTGTATAGAAGCTGTTGTATGTTATATGATCTGATGAAGCTAGCTCGAAATGTCATTCTTCTTTAAATAAAAATATAACAAAACTTGATGATTGTTCAACCCATTCTGTAATGTCAATGCATTGAGGTTTGACAATGTGGCTTATCTCGTCCTCAGGACCATTCACTCTAAACTAATAAATACATGACCTAGCAGGTCATAAAAACTGTTTTGAAAAAATGTTAAAAATAATTTCTTTCACCTTACATTTTCAGTTTTTGTTATTGATCATAAATTTCCATTTACACATCCAATCAATTTGAATTTGATTGATAGTCATTAACGTATTTCCTTTGATAATTTATTTTACTGATTGTAATAGTTACTTCTTCCAGCTATAAATCATTAACAAAATGTAACTAAAACTGAACAACGTTTATAGGTGACCTAGTATCTCACCTTTCAAGATGGCATCAGTATTATCTTTGTCAGTCCAGGTGTATTGTGATTTTACATAAAATATTTTTGATTGAGATCAATTTATATCTCATAATTATAGGTTTTTTTTTCAATAAATAACAAGTATTTTGTTTGTCCATTGTTTGATTATGATGAACTTAACAATAATATTCAATAAATAAGAATTTGAGTCCTCAGAATATTTCGTTTTTGCCTACTATAGTCGCTAACATAACCTGATGTCTTGCCATAGAAAAATATTACCATGAAAACAATGTGTAAAGAAACTTTTTAAAATTTCTAGATCTGTGATTTGTTCCTAAGTCTTTTAAATTTTCTATTAGATCCCTGTGTTCACCCCTACTGGAGTTCTGAATAGTCAGTATTTTGAGAAACCCCAAATTACTGATCACACTGCCTTAGTTACTCTACTTTGGCATGAATAATTTATAACATGTTGTATCCAATTACATTTAAAGATTGGCTATAGCTGTTTTCAGAGCTGAGCTTCACTAGTAACTGATTAGACCACATGCTGAGACATCATAAAAGGGTAACTATGAAAGGTAACTATTAATAAATCACATGAGAAACAAGACATGAATAATTATATTCTCAAAGAATGATGGTATGTTATGAATTAATCATATTTTCAAGGGTTGACAGTATGTTAACAAATATAAATCTGTACTTTGGGATGGTCAGAAAAATTCTAAAAGAAATTAATAAATGCATTATTCAAAGGCAAAACTTCTCAGAGTTATACAGAAATGAAAGTTGAGACTTTTTTTTTTGCAAATTACAGTGAATAAATGTTACAAAATGACAAATATGAAGTTTGAAATGTTTTAGAGTTAAGTATTGTTGACATAGAATTATTACTTTTGCTGAAAGTTTGTCATGGTACGGCTAGTAATAAAATAAATAGACTGCTCAGGAGCATAAGAATTTACTATAAAAACATTTGCTTAATTTTTCTACTGTTCTTGTATGACTGAAAGATAGTAATTTGGGAGTGTTTGTTTGTTTGTTTGTTGTTAAGCACAAACCTACACAGTATACTATTTGTGCTTTGCTTACCATGAATATTGAAATCCAGGTTTGTAGTGTCATAAGAACAGAGACTTAATGCTGAGCTACTGGGAGAAAGTCATTTGTGGGACTGAAATATACTTTTTACATACATTTAGCCTTTTATATGAACAGAAGACCTCTTTGGCTTTTTGACTCAAATAAAAACACCTAATAGTAGTAAGAAAAAATTGACATATGAAATATTAATTCTTACCTCTTCCATTTAACAGAGGATGTAAAGTTGATGCGTAATACCTGTCGATTTGAGTTTGCTCTGTTTGGTGCTTCTCCATGGTGTGCGGTATTCAACACAGAAGAGATAAAGGTTTTAGAATTCTGGGATGATCTTGATGATTACTACGAGGACATCTATGGCAGTGAACGCAATTATCTTCAGGCTTGTCCAATAATTAAAGATTTCATTGATTATTTCAAGTAAGTTGAATTAAAATCTTATATAACAATTTGGCTTTTCTGTATAGAAGTACAGGAGACCAAATGTTGTGTCTAATTTGCTGAGATACTTTATCTTGTTGCTGAAACATTTGAAAGCTGTTAGTCAGCTTATAGAGAAGTGTTTCCATAACATACCATATGGGCATTGCTAAGAAACCAGTTAATTTAAGAAAGAAAATATTTTTTTTATCATAGTGCTTATATTTATGTCAGTCATAACATTATGCATGCACAGATAATCAAATTGTAAGAGAAAGTATATCATCAGACATGGTGACAACTCTAATACCTCCTGACCTTGTCATCAGTCCAGTGTTATATTTGAAACATGAGATCAGAATACATTTCAAAATGTAGAATTATCTAATGATCTGTAAGCGTGACAGTCAGTAAGTCTAGTGTGTGGTTAAAACTGCTGTAACCCAACTATCAATAGTTATTTAGTAATGGCATTACCTAAACAATGATAGCTATTTTACAGCAGTATATGGTTGGAATTGAGTCTTGAAATTACAGTCATAAAATGAGTATTTCTGTACCATATCAGTGATTCTCAGCACAAGTTATTCAGATAATTTGTTCTCAGTGCATAACTGGGGCTGTGCCAATAAAAAAAGAAACACACCAAAATTAAAAGCCATTTTAACTGGCAATACCAAAAAAATATTCAGTTCTGCAGTTTGAGAATGTAAATAAAATTTCAGTTGAGACATAATAGTTATGACATTTAACATCTTGAAGAAAGGTTCTTCCAGTAGGTCAAATGGCAAATTCTTTTTTTTTCACACAACCTTCAGCTCAACAAGGTATGAATACAGATTATAATGAGGCAATCATCAGGAGAACAATAAAACAAGTGGAATATAAAATAAACTTAGCAGTGTTTCAGTGTAATTTATAGATTCCCATTACCACTTTGATAAATAGCAGGCAAATTTGTGACACTGATCACAAAATCTTGTGCTACAACAGAATACCCCATGCACAAACTGTCATAAAGAAATCATGATTTACATTAATTCTGCCATGAATGAAAATTGTGCTTATGTACAAATAGTTTAAAGCTTTTTGTAATTTTTATTATGCTATAGACAAAAGCAATGTAATAATATTGTTGATTAGTTTGAATACATTTGTTATTCTGTGTGTGATAAAGGGTTTGAGAATTAAAGGATACATAGATTTGTGTATTTTGTTTTGGTTTGAGGTTTAGAAGTATGTATTTTTAATGTTCATGTGTAGGTGCTACACTTCAGCAGTTCATGATTTTCAGGAACTTCCATGGTTCTTAGAAATCTACCCAAAGTGTTTTTCTTACTATAGAATGAACAATTAAAAAAAACACCAAAATACTACTTGTCCAATGGACAAGTTTAAATATAACGATAAATCTTCTTGTCTAAAGCATTGGAAAATATGAATTCAACATCCCTGGGCTGGAACGTCGAGAGCCAGCACGGGCCCCCGGGCAAACATCCTCGCCGGGCCCCCTTTATCTCTTTCTTTTTTAACATTTTCAAGAATTTATTAAAAAGAAGATCCTAAATTAGGACAGCAACGAGCTCATAAACCAGATAAAATCATAGCAGTAGCCATTTTTACCTCACAGCGTAAAAACGTTAACAAAGTAACAACAAATATCTATTAAATCTATAAAGTAACAAATACATATTAATTATTACTCAAATTATTATTTCAGTCGTTCTTAATGTATCAAGCGTCTATATGCAAAGAAAAGCCAAAAACTATGTTTTTTATCATTGAATGAAGATATAGCCTAAAGATGCTTTGCGGGCTTTACGGCATAACCAGGTTTCATTCTCCCGGGCCCCTGGGCAGTTGCCCCCCTTTGCCCCTCCCCTCTCAGCGGGCCTGTCCCTGGGTAACATTTCAAGCCTAAAGTACTTGTTCAATGTGCAAAATTAATCAATAAATGTGGTGACAATCCTCCAGTTATCCTTGTAATATTGGTATGACTGACTGATCAGTAAAATTTTTCAAGGAAGGTCTGCTTACTGTAATGTTATCTAAAAACACACTCTTTCATTATTTTGTTGTATTGACCATTACTGTATCCAAGCAGCTTGTTGCCTCACTTAACTAGTTGTCTTCCCTTGAGAAGTGTCAATGTATTACATAAGAAATGGGAACCACACTCTCTTACGTTAGTTGTGTGATTAATGGGGGCTTGTAGGGAGGTAGTAATGTGCTGTCTCCAATTCAAAGAATTCTTTACTTTGATCTCATGGACCATCAGATAGATATGTATGGCATTATGATTGTTGCGACAGCTGTGGGTAGTAAGGTAGTCTTCATTTTTCTCAGTGCATAAGTGATGTTGTGTAATAATATTGTAATATTGTTAGTATATTGTGTGGTTTTCAAGATTTCCCATATATGTTTCAGTTGTTGTGTGGTGTGTGTCATGACTAGTGTTATGTATCAGTAACAACATGGTGTGTTTCAGTTCTAATATGTGGCATGTATGGTAACTAGTGTTATGTGAGTATCTGTAACAACATGGCGTGTGTGTCATGACCAGTGTTATGTATCAGTAATAACATGATGTGTTTCAGTTCTAACATGGTGTATGTGTCAGTAACAACATATGTTTCAGATCTAATGTGGTGTATGTGTGTCATGACCAGTGTTATGTACCAGTAGCAACATGATGTGTTTCATTTCATGTGTTAGAACCAGTGTTATGTGTTTTAGTTTGTATATTTAAAAAACAGTGTTATGTGTTTATTCTAATGCTAATGTTGTTGTTTTAGTCAGGATCACTGTTGTATGCACTTAAATTTCAACATTATGTATTTTTGGGTTAATGAATTCTTAAATAATAGGAATATTGCAAAGAACAATACTTCCTTCACAGAAAAAGAGTGATATAGAATAGAAAGAATCAATTAGACTGATGATAAAATATTTTCTTTGTAGTCTTGCAGTTAAAGGAAAAGGACCAAAAGCTGTGCTCCACTTTTCCCATGCGGGAGCTCTTAAGAAGGTTTTCACCAGACTAGGATTATTTCTCAACTCTCCCCCATTGATGGCAGACAACTATTGTGAATCTGAGTCACGTAAATACCGGTCCAGTTTAGTTTGTCCATTTAATGCTAATCTTCTTTTAGTGTTATACAAATGTCATGATGAATATTTTGTTTCATCTTTTTTACAAGAAAAACCAGTTGTGTTGGAAGGGTGTGAGGATTCAGTTTGCCCACTGAACACTTTCAATTCAGTATATGCACCAATGGCTTCCAACTGTAACCTTTATGAAATATGTAGCTTACCTTATGCTTGATTTCTTCCTTAACACTTCTAGTTTCTAGCAATAAACATAAGTGATTTCTACCATTTTTACCTACTTGTTGAAGCCATACCTACAATACATTAATACATACTGTGTTGTCGTATCCCAGTCAGCCTGATAAGTCCCGGTACTGGGCAAAAGGCCTCATCAGTGCTGGATTTGGCAGATATAATGTGGTTGGAATATTTCTATACAGTATGTTTTTCTTTCAGTATTAAGTTATTAGAAATACATTTATGCAGATGTAAAAAATAGACTTTAATACATTTATCAGATACAAGTTTGCTGAAACATTGAAGTGTTAGAACTAAATACTTGCACAAAAAGTAGGCAGTCATTCCATTATTATTATTATTAGGTACTTGGTCAACATTAAAAAAAAATTGTAAGCTTGAGCACTAAACATTAATATATGTAAAAGTATTTGTATTTTTATATCAGGCAGTTGTGCACGGTAGTAGATTTATATGATTATTCTTATTGCAATGAAAGTTTAAAAGTTTGCACTGTTAAGGTGAAGAGGGTATTTTGATTTTTAAGATTTAAATTTTGTATAAATAATAGATTCTTTGAAATTATTTTACATCACAAAGATGTAGATGCAAATATTGTTGATTTAGCTAGGGATAAATATGCGAGTTTTTCTGTGGAAAAGAACTTGTTTTTCAGAGAAGCAGTTGTACAACAGTTTGGAAATGATTTGTTTATGATAACCTGTACCTTCATTTATATATTCCTAAGCACTTGTTCTAACCACGATGTTAAACTGTGATTAAGTTATTTATCTAATTTTTTAATTTGTCGTTTTCCTTAATTGCAGTACTTTATGTGTTATTTACCTTTTCAAGTGAGTGGAAGGTAATGTGTTTATGGTGAATGGATCCTTACGTGACATTATTACTTGACTTGTTTTAAGGAAAAGTCTCCAAAATTGCAGTATAGTAATTGCATTTAGTCTGATGTACATATAGGCTTATGATACAAAGTAATAGCAAGAGATATGTTCAGTGGAAGTTTGATGTCTGTTTATTATTTTCAACACATTACCTTCCACTCACTTGAACAGCAGAAGTCCATTAGCAAACTTGGACAAAGTGTTTAATATACTGTCTAAAGCTACTTTACAAGTTCTGTTGAATATGTATGTATAAGCACTGGTTCATAACATTAAATAGAAAAATAATTATGAAATAAAAATAGACATAAGTTCAAGAAAAGTTTGGAAGAATAACATATTCAAATAGGATACAAATTTAATGTTCATTGTACATGTAGTGGCATTGGTTTTATTTTGGTACTGTGTATAAGCAAATAAGATAATTGTTGTTATTTGTTAAAATATAATTTTTATACTCTTACCACCATGTTGTTTGAAAATATGTTGAATTATTTAACAGTATAAAGTAATCACAATATTATCATTTGGAAAATTACAAAATTATGTTCAGAATGAGGTCACTTTGAAATTCAGAAAGTTGAAATTAATAAAATGTAAATGTTTTATAATAGCTTTATGGTGGCCATTATCAATATTTGTTGTTGTTTTTTTAGTTGGTTACATACAAGTCTCCATTACTTGACAATCTTTATTACTGAATTTACTAAAATACTACATGTTTTGTTATCCAGTGTAACCTATCTGTATCTTACAGTTGGTACAGCTATTTGAAGTACTTTATTTAATGCTGTAGTGTTATGGCAGTATGACCCTTTGCTGAATTTTAAGTTCTATTAGTCACACTGTGAATTGGTTCACTTGGGTCTTCTGGACATTGAAATTGTAATATTCATTTTTCATTTTATCACATTTGTTTGCTGTGAACTGTTTTAATCTTTTCTGGAAATTGAACTGCATAAAAATATAGAAAATGACTGCTGATATAATCAATTTGGAAAGCCTCTTATTGGATAAATTTTTTTATGAAGTAAATGAAATTATCCTTACCGTGGCTGTTTACAAAAGAGCATCTACTATTTAAGTGGGAACACAGTCAAGTAAGAGTGCTGAATTTCAATAGGAAGGCTGTGTTTGAAGGTTTTTAGTGAGAAAATTTCAGTTTGAAACATTTTCTTACTTAGATAGTCACCATTGTGAAATTCATTAGTAGCATCTGGTCTATAAAATAATATACAAGTATTTCAAAAATTGTGAGGGTCCAAAATGGATAATTTAAGTGCATATTCTGTTTTAACATGATAGATTAAATGACAATCAGTATCATATTTTAATGTAAGAAACATAAGAAAATCAGACAAACTTGATCTTTGGTAAATGCTTATTTGTATTTAGTTGTTAGTTAATGTGGTAGAGGACATTTTATATCCTAGAATTTATTTTTAATCAGTTAGATGAAACATATTTTACATTGCATTAGTTTAATGTTATCTGAAATAAATGTAAATGCTCTTAATTATATTTGGGTTGCTATTTAACCAGTTTATTGAAAGAACTTTATTCTGTAAGTTACACACTATTTACTTTAAGTATTTTGGTATTGGAAATTAAAAGTTTTTTTCTCATGGAAATCATTTGTTTTTCTTGGAGTTTATTTATTGTGACATTTTATTTAGGAAATCTCAATTTGCTGTATTACATTTTACCATAAGTACTAGTTTTACCAAAAACAAAAAACTTGCATGAAGTTTAATGAACTATTAAATAAAACTGACAGTTTATAGGCAATTTTATATATATATATATATATTTTCATATAAAAAATGAAGCTTATTTCTCAATAGTATGCCAGTAATATACAAACAAAGTTAATACCAGTTATGATAGAAGCAGACTAGCAATTACAAGTATTTTAAATTTACCAAATGTATACAAGCAACTGTCCAAAACTACTAATGTTTATCTTTCATTGCTAAACATTCTCATATATACTCCAATATTTAACTTTCATATACTAGTGACTGTCAAAACAAACACTACAAATAGAAGCAGTACCTGACATATATAAGAAATCTGTAGTTACTGTAATGTAATAGACATGGATTCCAGACATCTTTGTTCACAGGTTACTACAAATATATTCTCAGACATGTGCAAAAACTTGCATACCACAGTTCAACACTTCCAGCTTAGAGGTATTTCTGACATCAATATACTTTTAGACTAATTTTAATGTGTGTATAGATAGAGCTGGACAATTAATCAGTATAATTAATTACCTTTGAACAATGATTACATTGATTAGTGTCACATAAACTAATGGTTCATCAAAATTGCAATTAAATCAAGATTAATGAGTTGTATTACACAATGATATGGCTAATATTGATATGAGAGCAACTAGTCTGCAGCTTAAGACAAACACTATTCCATGATTTGATCTTATACTGATGGAATAGTGTTTGTCTTAAGCTGCAGACTAGTTACTCTCATGTCAAGTTTAGCCATATCATTGTGTAATACAAATCATGAAACATAATTTTATCTAATTTCAATTCTAATTCTTGTATGTGAAAAGGAGATTTTAGTCAGAAAAGTAAGAATTGTTTTGTTACAAGGTTTAAGCTATTCATACAAAATATTAAAATACATTACGAGATAAAAGTATGTGAGAATATTATACTTGATTGAAGACTATTGTGGATTGCATCTACCTTACAAGTTTTTGGACAATGTTTTAATCAAGCTACTAGAGCAGATCTTCATCAGGTCAAACTGGTTAATTTGAAATGTTAGTATATGGCTGTAATGTTTTTTTTTGTAGCACAAAACTGCTGGAATAAAGTATAGTATATAATTTCTTAAATAAATAATAATAAAATATTTCAAATTCTAAAAGTTTTTGTAAATTAAAGTTGGTTATTTTACCTGAACACACATACTTTGAGTTTGTAAATGAAGCTGTCATCCCGCCACCTCCCAAAAGGGAAGACTGACCCTTTTTGGACTTGAGAGGGGTACCATTTGCATCTCTTACTTTTTTTCCCTTCTCACAATGGAAGTTCTTAACCAAATTACTTGAAGAATTGTAAAATCTTAATAGTATTTCATTGTGGTTTAAAAAAAGCATATCATTTGATTTACCTTTTCTATCATTCTTGTTATGTTGTGAAATTTCAAAAATTTGGTTGTGAAACATTGAAAATACTTCCTTTAATTGAAAATCTTTTAGAATTTCCTATTTCATTAAAACTGTTGATTAGAAAGTTCAATTTTTGTATATCTACTTAGTTTCAACTTGATTGATGTTCATTAATGTCTTTGTCTTTGATACTTTTACTTAGCCAATTGCAGTATTCACCACTTCTGCTATAAATTGTAAACAATGACTTGATGTCAGTTCAAACTAGGTAATAATATTTTTGCAACAATATTCTTGGTCAATATCAATGTGTTTCTAATAAATACAGTTTCTTTTCAATGAATAATGTTATTATATTTATCTATGTTCTTTGAATATGATAAACTTAACATTAATACTCAATAAAAAAAAGGATTTGAGTGATTGGTATAAAAATTAATAGAACTAAAACTGTATTTTGTATTTCCTCTTGAGTCCAGTCTTTTTTCTGCATTTTACATTGACTCATTTAGTGCTACTCCATAATCGATAACTTGCGTGAATTTCCTGTTATTTAGCAGATCTATCCAATAGCTCAAACATATATTCATTTCAGCTTGAAGGTACACAAACTTTTAGCTACGTCTTTTAGTGAAAATATATGCCCAACTTGTGAAGAACAGGCTTAGTAATGTGTTTCCAGTAACCAGAGGAAATAAGTGCAAACTATAGTTAAAAAATAAATGGCACATATCAACACATTAAATACACATGGCTGAACTTTGGAAATTAAATGTAATAAACTTAAACTTCAAGATACTTGCAAAATGATAACTAAAATCATTCCATTTACATCTATATAAAATTAATTAATACAACTGATAAAAAATAAATTTTAAGCCTTGAGCGTAAACATCCCAGCTGCTTATTACATATCAAGATAAAAGTTTATAATAAATATATCAGTGGCAAGTTTAGGAAAATTACCTTGCCAAATTCAAAATTTAACATCACAAATATTCATACTTAAATATACACACACACACATATATATATTTATATAAGTACTTATAATCTTTATATGGAGACGCATTTATTTATTTTCTATTTGAAAAGGTAAATTTCTCATATAGAATAAAAACAACTGAATACATATTCAGTCATTATCAATTAAAGCATCATAAACAGACTCAAACACAATTCAAGTTTATATAAAACCCATTCTGTTTCTGATGTAAACATAAAGACAAAGAATCATTATAGACTAATATGCAGGTGGTTAGGGTGCTCAACTCGCAATCTGAGAGTCGCAGGTTCGATTCCACAACCCACTAAACATGTTTGCCCTTTCAGCTGTGGGAGCATTATAATGTGACAATCAATCCCACTATTCGTTGGTAAAAGAGTAGCCCATGAATTAGCAGTGGGTGGTGATGACTAGCTGTCTTCCCTCTAGTCTTACACTGCTAAGTTAGGGACGGCTAGCGCAGATAGCCCTCATGTAGCTTTGCGCAAAATTCAAACAAACAAACAAACATACTAATATTCATAGAACAAAGCAATCACAAAATCTTTGAAATACAAGGTTTTAGATTGTTTAATAGGGTTAGAGTATTTAAAAGAAGGGGGAAATGGTTTACTTGTAAAACATCACTTTCATCCTGGTAAAAGATAATAGCAATGAGGTTGCACCTATTTGTTTTTCTGTTAGTGTTATAAGGAGAGAAGGCTATTTGCTAACAGACCATCAGATAAAAATAATGAGAAACTGTACAGTGAGATAAAAAATTCAGGTGTTAATGAGATTGTAACTGTGGGGGATTTTAATTTCAGGCACATAGATTGGGAAATGTTAAAAGTCAAACCAGGAAGAAGACGGGACTTAAGAAACTGTTCAGAATGGTTTTATTTACCAGTTGGTCAGGAAACCTACTAGGAACAATGGTATTTTAGGGTTATCATTAACTTCTAATATAAAAATGGTTGATAAGGTAGAGATTGAAGAAAATCTGGGTGAAAGTGATCATTGCTTAATTAGGTTTGATGTTTTGCTGCATATGGAGATAAGGAATAAGATTTTCATTCCAAATTTTTAAAAAGCAAAATTTGAAGTTATGAGACGAATTACCTGTTGTGAACTGGGCAATTGAATCAATTAGAGACAGTGATCAAATGTCCAAACTTTTAAAAATAAATTTTTGATATTCAAAATAGACATGTTCCTTATGTAAAAAGGATTTCTACAAGTAAAAAACCAGATTGACTCACAAAGGGTTTAAAGGATAAAATTAAAGAAAAAAGCATTTAAAATTTAGGAAGTTTAAATTAACTGCTGTATTTAAAGACTTAGAGAATTGTAGATGATGAAGAGAATTAATCAAATGGAAAAAAAAACATGAAAAAAGTAATAGTAAGGTTTTCTTTAAATACATTAAGGTTAAGTAAAATGTTAGGATGGGAGTAAGGCCATTGATGGGTGATACAGGAAGGCTCATATCTGATGATTATGAGATGGCTGGGTTATTAAATTCTACTCATTCTTTAATTTTTACTAATGAATATTGAAGCAGTATTTCTCATCCTGAACAGTAAATGCTAGATGTAAAAAGAAAAAAAATCAAACAAAGTGATCACATTAATTCTGAGTTTGTTAAGAAAAGAATGATAGATCTCCTGGGCCAGATGATATTATCCCCAAGGGTTTATGTTTTGAATATGTGAGCCACTTGCTTCTATTATTTTTTTGTAATTCCTTGAATAGTGGACAGGTACCAGAAGATTGGAAGTTGGCTAATGTTACCCTTCTTTTCAAGGGAGGTGATAAAACTTGTCCAGTAATCATAGACCTATTAGCTTTAAATCAGTTTGAAAATTTTTTGAAAATATGATAAAAGAGGCTTTGCAAAGTCATTAAATAAAATTTAAAATCTACTTGGATAGTCAGCATGGTTTCACTAGTGTAAAATCCTGCCTTACTTATCTTTTAACATTCTTTGAAGAGGTTATTGCTTATTTAGATGAGGAATGGGTGTGGATATGGTGAATCTAGATTTTCAGAAAGCATTTGACAAAATGCCACATAAAAGGCTTGTTAGAAAAATTATTTCTATAAGTGTGAAGAATAGGTTGGCTCATTGGATAGAAGACTGGCTAGATGGAGGAAAGCAGAGGGTTGTTATAAACGGAGTTCAGCCAAACTGGATTAATGTTACAAGTGGTGTACTTCTGGGCTCAGTGTTAGGACCTTTTATCTTTTTGATTTACATCAGTGTTCAATAAATTATTTAAATTTGCTAATGATATTGAGATTTTGGGTGTTGCCTGCTGTGAGCAGGAGGATGCTACTTTAAAAGAAGATTTGGATTATTTGATGAGTTGGGCAAATAAATGTCAGATAGCTTCTAATTATAATAAATGGGAGATAATGCATGTGGGATATTATAATTTGAATTTTGAATGTAATTTTGATAATAACTTTAGTAGCATTAGGGAAGAAAAAGATCTTGGTGTTCTAGTTGATTAGTCTTTTAAGCCATTCAAGCAATGTGTTGTTACTATTGGCAAAGCAAGTAGGACTCTAGATTGTTTCTTCAGAAATATTCAATATAAAAAAGGTTATAATTTCATTATATAGGCCATTGGTTAGGCTGCATTTTGTGTGTTGTGTTCAGTCTTGAGTTTTTTACCTTAGGAAGGGTATTGAATTGTTGGAAAGGGTTCAGAGAAGGGCTACTAAGATGATACCTGGAATGGTTAAGATCTCTGAAATTGCTTTCCTTTGAAAAAAGAAGAGTTAGAGAGGATCTGATTGAGGTGTTTAAGATTATTAAGGGAATTTATGTGTTGGTTAATCATCTTTTTCATACTTAATGTTAAGAATGGTAGGACTAGTGGAGACAAATATAAATTTTCAGAGTAGAAGTCATCTTCAGTTAAGACAGCTTTACTTTTGTAATAGTGTGGTTGGCTTTTAGAATGGGTTGCCTTCACATGTGGTGGATGTACTTAATTTAAAGGAAGGCTTGATAAATGTTTGAATAATAAGTGCTGGCTTTGAGTTTTTATTTTCATTTTAAAGTTTAGTGTATAGGACAGTCTAGATGAACCGATAAGTCTGTTGTTGTTCTTAAATTATATGAAGTGTAATGTACAAGACATTTCAGTCTAAATCTGCAATTAGTGCAGCTCATCACAGCTGCACATTACATCTCATTGATAATAAACTTCAAGTAAACTGTCTGGTCTTTATGGTTTTTTTACATCAGGCCAAAAAATATTGGCAAAATAAAAATATGCTTATCTTCACTCAGCTGCTCCACTCAAGTCCCAGGTCATGACACTCTGTGGTAGTCTTAAGTAAACAGTTACATACAGATAACTCACAACTACAATTCCAGGTTAAAATTCTGGTCACTGAACCAAAATTTTATCCTTCCTAAGTTCTCTGTGATGTTATCGGTTAAACTGATTTCCCAAAAGAGTAAATTAGTTAGGTCTACTGTATAGTGTGTCGGCTAGATATATTGCAAACTAATACTATTTTCTAATAAAACTTACTGAATCTGTGCTAATAAATAAATGGACTAGACATAAAGTGCTATATACAATGAAAACAGTCTTTATTTAACACAAGTCAAGCATGTGTACTTTATCTTATGGGTAATGGACAATTACCTTTACTGGAATTGTGAATTGATTAGGCTAGCTCTACTTCCTCAAGACTTATTTCCAAACTGATTGGACTTACTCGGGATGTTCCAGATTGACTAAATTTCATGTTGCTTAATTACATCTATAATGTCAGACTTACCCAGAACCTAGAGCACTACTCATGTGACTAGTCATTCCCATTCAAACATAAGGTAGGTTGTAGCCTTGAGATATCAACTGGCCTACCACTGGAGGACACTGCAGTCAATCTTCATGCACAAGGGACAGGTTTACAGCTATACCCTCCATAGGCCCGGCATGACCAGGTGGTTAAGGCGCTCGACTAGCAATCTGAGGTTCGCGGGTTCGAATCCCCATCACACCGAACATGCTTGCCCATTCAGCTGTGGGGGGTGTTATAATGTGACGGTCAATCCCACTATTTGTTGGTAAAA